AACTAGTTATCCAGTTCAGATAGCTATCTGATCCCACTGTCTTCCGGTCTACCAATCACAAGAATATATAAGGAACACCAGGGGCCAGGCACAGTGGCTCACACCTGTAATGCTAGCATGCTGGAAGGTGAAGGCAGGTGGATCCCCTGAGCTCGAGTTCCAGACAGCAGAGCAGGACCCCGTCTCTAAATATAGCCAGTGTTGTGGCAGGTGCCTTTAGCTCCAGCTACTCAGGAAGCTGAGGCAAGAGGATCACTTGAGCCCGAGCATTTGAGGTTGCCGTGAGCTATGATACCACAGCACTCAACTGAGGGTGACAAAGTGAGACTTGTTTCAAAGAAAAAAAAAAGAAACACTGGGCACTAGGGTTGGTGAAGTGACAAGTTCTGAACATGCCAATGTTCTCCAAATACAGCTTCTTCCCTCTATACCTCAGATAAGAAAATCAAGTCCACGTTGGGCACTGTGGCTCATGCCTATAATCCTAGCATTCTGGGAGGTCAAGAAGGAGAACTGCTTGAGGCAAAGAGCTCAAGACCAGTCTGAGCAACAAAGAAAGACCTATCCCAACAAAAAATAAAAATGTTAATCAGACACAGTTAATTGTGCCTGCCTATGGTCCCAGCTACTGGGGAGGCTGAGGCAGCAGGATCACCTGGGCCCAGGAGTTTAATAATGCAGTGAGCTATGATGACACCACCACCCTCCAGCCTAGAGCCTCATCTCTTTAAGTTAAAAAAAAAAAAAAGAATGAAGTACTTATACATGCTACAACAAAGATAAACCCTAAAAACATAATGCTGTGTGACAGAAGCAAGCACAAATAAAATTTATATATTGTATAGAATAGGCAAATCTACAGAGAGTAGATATGCCCAGGGCGTAAGGCAGGAATAGGGTGGGGACATGGTTTGGGGAACTAATAGGGAGTGACTGCTAACGGGTACAGAGTAGCTTTCTGGGGTGATGAAAATGTCCTAAAATTAGATGGTGGCAGTACTTGCACAATTTAGTGAATATACTAAAAATCATTGAATTGCACATTTTAAAAGGGTGCATTTAATGGTAGTGTATCTCATGAAAGGTGTTTATTTAATGTTACTCTCTGAACTATGAAAAACTGCCATTTTTGCAAGAATATTGGAAATTGAATATTGGCAATTTTCTGACCTAACAGACCATAAAAGTCACATTCTTCTGTTTAGGGATAATAGTTCAGATCTACTCATTAATCAAATACAAGTAGCAAGAAAAGATTTCAGGGTATTTAAAAGCCACATGGGTAAGAGCCTTCAGTTGGTCCACTCCAGCTTCCAAATATACTTGTGGCCAATTAGTTTCTTTCTTTCTTTTTTTTTTCAGTTTTTGACTGGGGCTGGGTTTGAATCTGCCACCTCTGGTATACGGGGCCAGCGCCCTACTCCTTTGAGACACAGGCACCACCTCCAATTAATTCCTTGACTTATAAAATAGATTTTGGCCAGGTAGAGTGGCTCACACCTATAATCCTAGCACTTTGAGAGGACAAGGCAGGAGGATTGCTTAAGGCCAGGAGCTGGAGACCAGGTTAGGAAACACAGTTTCTCACTGGGGAGAAGCTGTCTCTATAAAAAAAAAATTAAAAATTAGCTGGGAGTGATGGCATGTGCTTGTAGTCCTAGCTACTCCAGAGGCTATACCAGAAGAATTACTTGAGCCCAGGAGTTTGGTGTTGCAGTAATCTATGATTTCACCACTGCACTCTATCCCAGCAGTAGAGTAAGCCCATGTCTAACTACATAAATAAATATTTAAGTATAATATAAACAGATATAGTAAATATGACAGTCAAACTTATAATTTAAGATCTAAATCTGAAATTTAACAGGGTGCTGTAGGCAAAAGGTAGATGCATATTGAAAAAAAGTTTAGTTATTAAAATGGAATGGATTTTACTGCTCTTAACTTCACATGAACTTAAAAACTATCCTTTTGTTCTCTAAAGTTGACAGGTTAACTCTTAGAAAATAGCAGTTTCCCATGACAGATGTAGCACTGTAAGCCATCTTAAATCTTTCTTAGAAGCAGGCAGAATCTAAATTATTAGTAGGTAATTAATAAGAGTAGCCAAATTTAGAATACATTCATTTAGCTAGCTGAGATGACTTATTAATTTCTACCAGCTTGCTTACCCAAATGTAATGCTTCCTGGTACCTCTTGGTATCAAAGTACAAAGACACCAGTCTTGCCTAGGAAAGAGAAAAGGCATTGATTGAATAGAAAGGGGGGGAAAAGTCACAGAAAGAAATCAAAGATTAACAATCACAGAACTGTTACTGCTAAATATACAAGTCCTGACAATAGCAACAAATTCAGCAAAAGAAATTATCAAGCCTATGGTACTGCCTCCTGTCATAGCCAGCAACTGACTGTTAACTTTACTATGTTGCTGCTCATTTGTCTGTCTCAAAATTTCAACCAATGAGACTACTAGCAATAACCTCTGGGTACCTGGGTAATGGCAAAGTTGTTAAAAATACTTCTGATCACAGTCTAACAATGCCTCGAGACCTGAAATCAGTGCTAATATAGAACATACCTCCAAAGCTTGGCGTAAGAAAGTCCTTTTCTCTGATTTGGCCCATTCAATGCACTCTAAACACAGCTCAACCTGCAAGAGGGAAAGACAGTACACGCAACGTTATGTCCTCACATTCTTCCCACAAACCATGCTTTGGAGAAGAGCTTTAATTCCCTCCTTACTTAATACCATGTTGCTCTGTTTAGTGTCTGATCCACAGAATCCAACTGTGTAATGGTTATATTGTTATGCAGCATCAAACTTGTTTTTAACAAATAAAACATCTTTATGCTTAATGTTCTTTGGGAAAGTAGGTCATCTTTTAGACTTCTCTTCTACCTTCCCAGGATGCATCCACAACTTCCAACAACATATATATCCCTGGAATATAGATTTCTACAATGGCACAGCAATTTTTAAAGCAGAAATTTCTCCTTGAACAGTCAGAAATAGTAACAATAATGTTATTGTATTCACAAGCAATAAGGGGGAAAAATTCTCAGCCTAAGCACAAATACCTTGTCCCTAACAAATGCTTGTAAGACTCAAAAGATCCAATTAGTTCTTTCCTTTTCAGATTCTAAACAGTGCAACTAATCAATTCATCATCATTCTTACAGCAAACAGCCACAGAAAACTTAGCTTATATTAAAAGGAGGAAAAGGAAATTAGAATTATTCTAACACTTAAAAGGGCTTTTCAACTTTAATTGTGAAAGACACTCTGAGCCCCCAGCTATCTGCCACTGAAGCAGTGATGTAACATGCAAACTAACTGATTTAAAGCAGGGGTCAATCCTAGACAGTCTAGCATGCCTTCAAGTATGTATCCCTGACTTATTAGTTTTGACAAAGTACAGATTAAGTACTGCAGATCATATTCTGATTCTGTGGCTACAAGTTTTGTGTTAAGGTTACTAATTAGAGCATAAGACAAAAAGAAATGAAATGAGAAACTGGGCTCTCCAGAGAACTGCTAATACAAAATTTACTGAAGTTCCCATAACAAATGCTGTGAGAAAACACTAAAGGAACATAATTCAAATTGACAAAATCTTCTGTTTTCTTTTTTTTAAAGACAGAGTCTCAAGCTGTAGCCCTGGGTAGAGTGCTGGGCTTAAGTGATTCTCTTGCCTCAGTCTCCCAAGTAGCTGGGACTACAGGCGACCGCCACAACATCCGGCCATTTTTTGTTGTTGTTGTAGTTGTCATTGTTTAGCAGGCCCTGGTCAGGTTCAAGCCCACCAGCCCTCGTATATGTGACCGGTGCCCTAACCACTGAGAACAGGCACTGAGCCAGATCTTCTGTTTTCTGATCCTAAATTCAAGCTCAGTAAATAAATTGATGGATGACATTATATGGTATTTGGAGCATTCACCAGTAAGAGATTCAATGAAACCTTTACAACTCAATGGAGCCCCCTAGTGACTACCTAATCTCCAACTCTAAAACTCAACTGACCTCATAATAATTCTACAAAAATAAGAACCAAAAACTTAAATAAAAGTCACCCAACACAATTTCAGAGTTTTGAGTTTTGTTCTGAAAAACTAAACTCAAAAGTCAGATGTCTAATATATATCAAACTGAAAATATTTTGCTGACTAGTTTAGCAAAGAAAATATAGGAGTCTTTCATCTGACATGACTCAGGGGGCTAAGAAATGCCCCCTACAATTTTATCCAGAGAACTGATCAAATGATGCAAAAATGGGACCTACGTACCTTCCACTGTACGTTATACTTTAATAAACAGTTTACTCCTACTCCCCCCCCCCCAAAAAAAAAATGCCTGGGCTCCTGACCCAGTAGTCTAGAATACAGAGCTTAGCAACTCAACTCTAAAGTATATCCCTAATTAAGAAACATCAAATTCTACTCTTACAGTTTACCCGCCCCTATGTCCCTGACAGTCTAGGTATTAAGTGACTCACCTAAGGTCACATATGAGACCAGAACTTATCCCTATCTCCAGCACTCTTTGTACCTTTACCCAGCCTTAAGTTAAGGTCAGCACAGACATTTCTCCTAGAAGAAGAATTTTTTACAACACGAAATAGATAAGTTATAAATTACAGAATACATGATTTACATTATCAAGAATTGTAATTGGTGAAACGAGCACCTCAGTTTCAAGACATTTTAAAAGGTACTACCCTTGCTACTCAGCTATTTTGCTTGAAAGGCTTATATTTCCATAATGCCAAAAATGACTGATAAAAATATATAAGAAGCCCATGCTTCCAGAAGAAGGCTCTTACTTGACTACAAAAACTGGATGTGGTCAAAATTAGGTATTTAAGTTTCAAATCAATACATTGAGCCATTTAAAAAAACAAACTTTCGATTAACTAAATTCCAGTGGGGGGGGATAACTATTGGTCCACATCTGAAATTGCTAGCACAAACCCCTTTTTTCCATTGAAACAATTGTTTTGACAACATGATTTCTGATGTAAGAGTCCTTAAAATGTGCTACTGTGTTTCAGTTGGGCAGACTATGCCAAAAAATGGCCTATTATAGGCAATTCCCTAGAAAGCCCTTGAAGTTCAGCTTTATTCTGGAAGTTCAGTTCACTAGTTGGAAAGGTATGGTTCAGTCTTCTTTCTCTCCTCTTCACCCTGCTTTTCTCCTCTTCTCTTGTCAAGTACCCCATTTTTACTTCATCCTCCCACCCCACACACATAGACGCTGTCAGTTTCTAAGCCCCAAACCTTAGCATTGCAGATGACCAGATCCCAATCCGAATCATACCAACTTTAGGACTATAGCCAGCTAAAAATTGTTCTATAAATATATCTGACTTGGCTCGGCGCCTGTGGCTCAAGTGGCTAAGGTGCCAGCCACATAAACCTAAGGTGGCGGGTTCGAATCCAGCCCGGGCCCGCCAAACAACAATGACAGCTGCAACCCAAAAATAGCCAGGCTTGTGGCCTGTGATCCCAGCTGCTTGGGAGGCTGAGGCCAGAGACTCACTTGAGCCCAGGAGTTGGAGGTTGCTGTGAGCTGTGATGCCATAGCACTCTACCCAGGGCGACAGCTTGAGGCTCTGTCTCAAAAAAAAAAAAAAATTAAAAAAAAATATATATATATATATCTGACTTATGGTTAGTCCCCAAACAGAAAAAAAGCAAAGGAAATCCCCTCCCTCATACTCTTGGTACCCAACTCCTTAACACAAAGCTCTTGGTCTTTTAACAATATTCCAAAATGTCCTGTTTCACCTCAGGCCTCAATACTACTATGACAGTCATCCACTACGACTTGTTCCTCTATCCTTTCCCATCACCCAGAGAATTTTAAAAGAACCAAGAATGAAGACTAAGCTGGGCATGGTGCTCATGACTGTATTCCTAGCACTGCAGGAGGCAGAAGCAGGCAGACTGCTTAAGCTCAGGAATTCGAGTCCAGCCTAAGAGTGAGACCCCATCTCTACTAAAAATAGAAAAAGTAGCCAGGTGTTGTGTTGTTCACCTGTAGTCACAGCTACATGTGAAGTTGAGACAGGAGCATCACTTGAACCCAAGAGTTTTAGGTTGCTGCGAGCTATGATGCCAGAGCCCTCTGCACAGGGTAACAGAGTGAGACTCTGTCTCAAAAAAAAAAGAAAAACAAGAATGACAACTGTATCCATTTTCCCCACAGAGGTCTTGAGGCACTCAAACAAATGTAGTAACAAAACCCCAAGCTTACATCTCAGTTCAGTAAACTAAGATCTTTAATTCAACACAGTATTTTCTGAGCAGCTACCATGGGAAAGGCATCATACATACACTCCTTCAACAAATAGTAGTCACGTAGCTCCTCTAAGTCAAACTACTCAATGTGCTAGGAATACAGAAGTGAAGAGGACAAAGTAGATACCTTCATGAAACTTACATTCTAAGGATATTAAACACGTAAAGAAAATAGGAAGAAAAGTAAGCAGTGACAGGGCATTTTAGATATGGTGATCAAGAAGTCTCTTTGGAAGTAAGACGTGAGCAAAGACTTAAAATAGCGTGAAGGAAAAAACCCATATTAAGATCAGGTTGAGCACAATCTAGATGTATACAAATTTTCCAAGACCAGAACAATATAAAGTCAAGGACAAAAGGACAGTATTACAGCTGTAAATAAAGTAAAAGGGAGATTAGTCTAGATGCGGTCAGAGATAGCTCCGGGTAAGGAACTGGAACTGTGCGGGGAATGAGGAAGGCCCTGTGAGCAAGGTACACAGTGCTTCGCCGGAATAAGATTACATTATGAACGAAGACAAGGCAATGCAACTGTCATTCAGACAATTGCAGAATAATCAGAAATATAACATGTACAAAATATAATAGGAGTTACTGACAAGAGTTAAGAGCACATTAAAGTCAAAAAGAAAAGACTTCAGAGGAGGAGGAACTTACGATGGAACCATGGAAGGGAGAGATACAGCTTGAGGAGCATAAAGGACTTGTTGGCCAAACAGGCAGGCATCCAATGTGACTGACAGGGTTGATGTGCTTCGTAGAGTTCTGGTAGACTAGACTACTGCACTAGGTTATATTACAGAAAACCACTGATTAGCTAATTCTGCAGGCAATGGACAGCTACTAAAGGGTCAAATTGTCAGAGAGCTACTTGGTAAGATATCTCTGACAATGGTGAAATGAACCTTTTATAGCAGTCCAAGTTAAGAAATAATTAAGATTCAAATTAGGTGGAGAACAGACATGAAAAAAGTGGAACTGACAGAATTTAAGGAACAGTAGGATGCTGAGGTTGGTCATATTGAGTTTAAGGTAAGATGACACAATCTAAATGATTCAAAATTGGTTCTGAAATAAGCAAATAACCTATAATCCACAACTCTGACTCTTTATATTGTTTTTGTTTTTGTTTAGCAGGCCAAGGCCAGGTTTGAACCCACCAATCCCAGAGCATGTGGCCAGTGCCCTAACCACTGAGCATGGGCGCCCCCATAGACTCTTGACCAGGCACAGGGGCTCAAGCCATAATCCTAGCACTCTGGGAAGCCAAGGTGGGAGGATCACTTGAGGTCAGGAGTTCAAGATCAGCCTAAGAGCCAGACCCCATATCTACTAAAAATATAAAAAATTAGCCAGGAGTGGTAGCGGCAAGCCTATAGTCCCACCTATTCGAGAGACTGAGGCAGAAGGATCACTTAAGCCCAGAAGTTGGAGGCTGCAGTGAACTATGAGGATACCACTGCACTCTAGCCCAGGTGACAGAAACAGACACTTTCTCAAAAAAACAAAAAAAAAATACTCTGGCGCTTAATAAAAGCTAAATTCTAATCATCTAAAAACAGCCTTTAGGGCCAGTACAGTGGCTCACACCTGTAATCCTAGCACTCTGGAAGTCCAAAGCAGGTGAATTGCCGGAACTCACGGGTTGGAGACCAGCCTGAGCAATAGCAAGACTCCATCTCTAAAAATAGCCGGGCATTGTGGGGAGTGCCTACAGTCCCAGCTACTCAAGAGGCTAAGGCAAGAGAATCACTTGAGCCCAAAGAGTTTGAGGTTGCTGTGAGCTATGACACCAGAACACTCTACCAAGAGCAACAAAGTGAGACTCTGTCTTGGAAAAAAGAAAGAAAAATGGCCTTTACTTAACATTAAAATGATACTGATGATAAAACGATACATTGCCTAGGAGTGCTTCCTTTCACCCTAGGAAAAAGAACTCTAGTTGACAAAAAATGTAACGTGCAATGAACAATAGCAATGTACCAACATAGTTAAGAGATGGCCTTAAGCAGACAGGGAGCCCCATGACAAAGGCCAGTAAATCCCACTGGTCTCTTAAGGAGAGCACTAAATTATGACTTTAATAGATTTACACAAAGGAATGGAAAAAATGACCATTAAACAAAGGCGGTTCTACCCACTGAGTCAGCTCTATGCTAGAGAAAGGGACAAATTTCAGAGACTTCAGTGTGCAAAGTAGCTGCATGGATAATTAATTTTTCTGCCTTCAAGTAACATTGGTCAGTTTCAAATTAACATTTACTGATCAGCCTGTTTTAAGATATCCTATTTCAAACAAAAGATAGCACCACTTTCATGAGAACAAAGCACACTTTTTAAAAGAACTAGGTAAGACTAATACTCCTAATAAAAATTACAAAAAGGCAGGCTCAGAGCCTGTAACTCAGTGGCTGGGGCACCAGCCACATACACAGGAGCTGGCAGGTTTCAATCCAGTCTGGGCCCGCCAAACAACAATGACAATTGCAACCAAGAAATGGCCAGGCGTTGTGGTGGGCACCTGCAGTCCCAGCTACTTGGAAAGCTGAGGCAAGAGAATTGCTTAAGCCCAAGAGTTAGATTGCTGTAAGCTGTGATGCCACAGCACTCTAGCCAGGGTGACAGAGTAAGACTCTGTCTCAAGGAAAAAAAAAAATTATAAGACAGCTATCTAAATATTATTTTTGTTTTTCTATTTTTTTTTTCCCTGAGACATAAGTCTTACTATGTCGCCCTTGGTAGAGTGCTGTGGTGCCACAGCTCACAGCAACCTCAAACTCTTGGGCTCAAGCAATTCTCTTGCCTCAGCCTCCCAAGTAGCTAGAACTACAGGCGCCTGCCACAACACCCAGCTATTTTTTTGTTGCAGTTGTTATTGTTTAGCTGGCCCAGGCAGGGTTCGAACTCATCAGCCTCAGTGTATGTGGCCAGCACTGTAACCACTGCGTTATGGGTGCCAAGCCTAAATTTTATTTTTGATCTACTATCATGAAACAGTTTTGCCAAAAACAAATGAATCTGAGGAACACTCTACAAATAAATTTTCTACAAATGTTCAATTTAGCTTATGGTGTTTAAACTAGGCTTCAAAAAATTACTAAGAAACCAGTTTTACAAAGGGCATGATTTCAACATGGGATCCGTGTGTCCTAGGTCTCTGAAATTCCTCACTATTTACTCAATATGTTACTGTGGCCTTTTATACCTTTCACACCTGTACACCCACATAGGCTCTGGCAAACAGATATATAACCAACCAGCAATTCCAACCCTCACCCTTATATTATCTGACAGTTTATATATTTGTTTTTTGTCTGCCTTTCCAGTGAAAATATAATCCTCATGACAGCAATGACTATCTTTTTACAACTGCATCCCCAGTACTTAGAAGTGCCTAACACAGAGCTGGCCCTCAGTGAGTAATGATCCGCATATCCCTAGGGAAGACAACAACTATATTCTTCTTACAAACCAGTTTAGGCAAGTAATACACCCTGCTTGAATCTGCCACTTCTTACAGAGTAACTTTTAAGTTTGGTATGTGTCTCCTCCTGAATTGATAAAATACAGCTATCTTTGAAAAGGTTCGGAAAAGTTCAGTGATTCCAGAGAAGCACTCTTCAGTACAGCTCAGGGTCTAGTCTGAACTTGTAGAAAGCATGTACAGAAACACCAGGCACTTTTGCACACATGAGACACAAACAAATGGATGCTCACCTCTCAATAAAGGCTTATACGCAGTACAAAACATGCCAAGAAGGGATGCCACAGACACTTAATTAGTGCTCACAAGGAGCTTTGTGACACAAGATGAAAGGTACCACAAACACAGAAAACATTACAAAGGTGTGGCAATACAATACCTCAAAGACAAGAATCAGTTTGTGACCCTGATGTAATGAGGATTCCAGGGACCACTGACAATCTCCACTTACAAAGTAAAGCATGGAACAGACCCAAAGTATCAAATGCCCTGTAACAAAGAGAAACTGACATGATAAGTCCTGAGCTGTCCTCCAAGCTTGTCCCTTCCACTTCAGTACCCAGTGCAGGCAGGCTTTTCTTTCACTGAAACAGACTTCTTCCCATATTGTCTACTTTCTGTCATTAACATAGCTTACCTCCTGCCCTGTAGCTGCTTCCATATCAAGAAACAGATCAAGAAGAGATCGGACCAGACGGGCTGCTTTAGCCTTGCTGATGGAATTCAAGAAGGGTCGTACATACTTCAGGAGTCCTCCAAGCTCTGTGTGAAAGGTAATTCAGGGAAAAAAAAAAAAAGTAAAAGTAGGGACAAAGTACCCACTTAAAAAACTGACCCAAGATCATAAAATTGAGTACTTACATCACTGGAATCAGTCTAAATGGAACTTAATAGTTTAAAGCATTCCTACCAGACACTAGAGTAGCAAAATAAGTTAACATCACATATCAAATTTGTATTCTATTCCTCACTCAGCCACTGAATTACTATGAAGGCCTGGGAAAACCTCCTATCTTTGCTTTATATATCCATCTTAGTGAGACATAAATAGCAAAGTATTCATACTATTAAAAACAATTTTCTAGCTAGAACATGACACATGCTGTGCCCTGCACAACCAACACATATGATCAAATTATAGAAATATATATTTTTTTTCATTTCCAAGTCTGCCTTAATAATTCCCCTTAAACAGACAAGACAAAGGTTTTCGATTCCTCTCTTTCTATAGTTCTCTCCAGTTTAGCCTTTCAGCAATATCATTTCCCTGGCACTCTTCTGAATAAACTTTTCACACAGAAGTTTGAGTGTTTTCCTCTTACAGTCCTATTATGTCCTTTTATAATTCCTCATTAATTTTCAAAACCTAAATCTTAAACTATGATCAAAGGCTGAGGCAGGTGGATTGCCTGAGCTCACAGGTTTGAGATCAGCCTGAGCCAGAGCAAGACCTCATCTCTAAAAATAGCCAGGCGTTGTGGTGGGCACCTGTAGTCCCAGCTACTTAGGAGGCTGAGGCAAAAGAATCGCTTGAGCCCGTGAGTTTGAGGTTGCTGTGAGCTGTGATGCTACCGCACTCTACCAAGGGTGACAAAGTGAGACT